TTAATCAAGGTGCTACGGTACATTGGACTTTTTTACCTTACCTTGTCCTATCCCTTATGAGACGCGATTGCTGAGTGGTAAAGCACTTGGCTTCCGAACCGGGGGTCTCGGATCCTGGTGAAGACTGGCATTTTTAATTTCGGGATCTTTAGATGCCTCTGAGTCCACTCAGCTCTAATGGGTACCTGACATGAGTTGTGGAAATTAAAGGCGGTTGGTCGTTGTGCTGGTCACATGACACCTTCGTTAACCGTACGCTACAGAAATAGATGACCTTTACATCATCCGCCCTATAGACCACAAGGTCTGGAAGGGGAACTAAAAATACTCTTTTTTTACCTATCCCTTAGTCTGTTGGACCGTTGCAAGATTTGTCGACCGTCTTTTTCTATTCCTCTCTGTCTTTGCCTTACTTAGAACCTCTTTCAATGACAGGCCCGTCCATTCTTTTATGTTGTCTTCCCATCGCTTTCTCTGTCTGCTTCTTCTTCTTTTTCCTGGTACTGTTCCCTGAAGGAAGGTCTTTGCGAGCCCCGAAGACCTTGTAATATGGCCATAGATTTTTAGCTTGCATCCCACCCCCTCTAGCCCGTGAAAGAATGCTGGTTAAGTGAATGTATAGATCTGCAACACTTTTTAATATTCTAATGATAGGCCTTTAGATATTAGACTTAGAAGACAGTGAGCAAAATGTTCCTGAACATTAATTTATTTAACTCTTGAATGAATAGGACCTACGTGCGGAAATATTCGAAGACGTATAAACCGTTCACGACTAATACTTTCTCGCTCTTAAGCAGAATTTAAATTTCCTTTTGTTGTATCTTGGGGAAATTATAACGGTCAAACTAGTCTTCCCAGTTTGGCTAAAATATGTATTATTTCTTTTCATAAAGATATACATCAACTGTCAAATTTCTTTTGAGCCGTCTTCGAGATTCGATTTTCACCTTAATTGCCAACTTTGTTTTTAGTACCACTGCGATAATCTATGAATGAAACCAGAGTTTTGCCGATAAATTCCGAATAGTGAAATTGTAATAAAAAATATTTAATAACCAGCATTTTTTTTTCGATGCTTGAGTATCTTGTAAGGTGTATTACTGATGCGAGTTGTATTACTAAGACACACATCCCGTCACATCAATTACAAACGAACAGGATCAATGCACAGTAACTAAGTTCACTCTAGATGAAAATAGAATTTTAGTGCAGAATGGGCCCCAGCCGAGTTAGTCACTAAAACGATGTTATCCCTTCAAGAGCCTAGCTCTAGCAGTAACTGTCCTCAAAGTCTACAATACTAATCTCTAACCCAATGCCTATGTCGTCATTAGAAAATGTCGCGTTCAAAGTCAGTCTACTACAGTGCGTTCCTAAACTTATCTGTCTAGACTCTAGACTAAAGAGGCCAATCCTTGATATACAGCTGCGGTCACAGGTTCGGCATCTGTAGTCACCAGGCGTTGTTGCTCTTTCACCCTTCTTTCTACGTCTGTTGTTATGCAATCTGCAATCAAGGACCCTTCCTTTATGCTCGCTCTCCATGTGGATCTATCTAAATCTAGTGCCTCTTTTTCCCAACTACTAGTGTCGATTTTGAAGAGCTTTATGTCGCGTTTGCATACATGTTATACCTAAAAGTGGGCGACTATTATACATAGGTCTATGCTATTTCCTTTTAATACCAAAAGGTAAGTGTGTGTGTGAGTGTATGTGTGTGAGACTGTGTATGTGTAACTGCTTGTAATATGCAATGTAAGACTATTGCCTTCTTTTTAAAATTGTATCTTGTTCAGCAATGAAAATGCCCCTTGCAGAGTCGGAAGCCAGGCCAGGTGCAAACAAATCTACAAGGCCCACTGGACATTGGTTTGGACTCATGAACTTGGCGCTCAACTGGTTGCCCACGAGGTGCCATCGCACTGCGAATGTTTAAACTTTGGCAGCGCCATTTACCCGATCTCAGCCCAGTCTAACTATGGGAATGTGGACACAACATTGGACATTGTTTCCAAACCTTAAGGAATTCAAGTCTTGCTGTATGAAAGCTTAAGGTACTACAATAAAATATAAAATAAAATCCCCAACTACTTTTGTCATCCTTTAATTCTATACAATTAGCTTACATTCTCTGGGTGGAAGGAAACATTGGGTCAGAGAGTTGCAAGTTTGGAAATCGGCCAGGTTTGTCTAAAAAAGACACTTCACTGTCAATGATTTATATAGACAGAATTAGAATACAGATTAATTATTCAATCGTAAAATAAACTTTTAAAATTGAAAGAACATCTAATAAGTCAACTAGAAAACAGACCAGAGCTGAGGGATTTATCACAAATAAATTACCCGTTTAACTAGAATCTAGACTAAAATCATTGGTAAAATCACAAACCATAGAGACAATCAATGACAGATGACTAATTTGTTAATAAGCAAAAATATATTTTAAAACAACACTATAAAAAGTATCCAAATACTCCAAAAGACCCAAAGAGAAAGACAAAGTTCGTATTCAATAGGCTAGGACAAATGGTTGTAAGAATTCTTTATTTCCAAGTGCACTTAGGGAACGACTTGATGGAATGCTACAGCGAGGAAAACAAAGACGTATTCTCCTTGACATAGAGGTGCTGTATGACAGCTCACGAAACCAAATCTTTCCACTTTCCCAGCTGTTCCTAGCAGGATAATAAGAGAAAGGCTGGTCCATTCTTTTCTGTTGTACATCCAACTTCTCTTTAGACGAGCCTTTCTTCATGCTCCCGACACTGTCTCTTGAAGGATGACTGAGTCGTGTATTACAATGTCACCAAAACCAGCTCAGCGTTCGTCTCTTCACAGTACTTTATGCCAGCCAGAGTGCTGACTTGTAATAGTGCACACTCATTTCTTTTTCTTTTCCTGGTATCTGATACCCAGCAGTTTTCTGTAGCAGTTACTTTCAAAGGTTTGAATTCTTCCTTCAGCCTCAGCGTTCAGTGTCCATCTCTTATAACCATATACTATATAGAGATGAATATACCACTAGAGAAGAAAACAGTTTTAATTACAATATAGTCCACTAAGAGAAGGCCAAATGCATTAAAAGTTGTAAACCAGTTAGTAGCAGAATAATCGCCATTCTAGTCCGGAGTGACAGTGGAGAAATAACTATTTTTGATTACTTGTAAACACAGGAGTGATTCCCCTTACGAAGCTTATTTAAGGGCATGTAGGCCGTGATTAACCATGGTTTAACTCTTTCGTTCCGTAATTATTTTAATTTAATGAGTTCAAATCAGCGTTGGTATCGTACATTAGGAGAGAAAGAGTTAATTGCCACTTGCTCCTGAGTTACCGGCTTAACCACTGGACCTGGGTTGTGAACTGTATATATTATATTTTTTCTGTTAGTTATTGGTCGTGTGTCTTGGGGTACTCGGGAGAAGTGTACCCTGTTCTGGAGATCTTTGGCTAAGTATATCTTTAGTCATTATTGTATTAATGTGATTAATTAGTAGAAATAGCCTCACGTGATTTCCAGGCTGTATATTTTTACCCTGATGTTATGCATCCTGGGGTACTCCCAAACGAGACAGATTTTTTTCAAGCCTTTTCTCTGAGTGATTCAACTCTGTAATGAATTATCAGATAGGCTTTACCGAACAGATGTCTATAGGTGGGATTCTATGAAGCGTATGGGCTCATAGGTTTCCCTGAAGCTTATAACTAATCATGACCCTTTGTTTGTTTTGGCTAAATGTGGCTGTGTTGGCCTGAAGCCTGTAACCCCAGAGTGGCCAAAAAGTGGTCGTGTTTTGACCTGAGGCCTGTGATCTTCATTTTTGTTTTTACACTGATGTGTGATTTCCCGGATTTGACAGTAGATTGTATATTTATTTGTAATATATGACTAGGGCGGTTTGCCATACTATTTTTGAATGTGTAACTTTTGTTAATTTTGTGTTGAGAAGGCCTGTGAGTTGATGGCCATTTATTTACACATTTATTTTACTTATGTAAATAAACTTTGATTATATGTTTACCTGCGACTTTGTTAAAATTAAGTCTTGTTATGCATACATTAGTTTAATTGTATACCTAGAGGTTATACTTAATAACCTAGGAAATGCAAGTAGGGACCAATATGCCACTGGACGAACGTGCCAGCACACCTTTTACACTGATCTGTTGATCTGAAATACCTAAATCTAGCTATAAGTCTAATTGAATCTTTTAAACTATACCCGCTAATAGGAAAATTAATTAATCAAAATTTTGTTATGTAGAATAGGGTGCTCTTTTAGAATCAATTCCCATTATTATGTAACATGGGGTACTCTTACAAGCAACCTCATTCAATATGTAACATGGGGCTAGACCTCTCAATATAACAATTATTCATGTGTGTGCCCCAACGTACGATTATAAAAAGTTTGTAAAATGTTTAACAAGTTTCGGAGTTGAAGATAATTTACTTCCTAGTCAAAACCTCTCGTAGGACGACGGGGGATGGCAGCGGGCAGGGTATGAACCCAGGACCATCTAGAAGTCCGAACGACAGTCCAGCGCGAATACCTCACGACCAGGCAGCCATACTTTCTTTGTAATTACTATCAGTGCTAAAAATTTCATGTTTACAAATATATTAATTTGTGAAAATGTGTATCGGTAAGGCTATGTACTTAAAATAATCTAGTGTCCTAAAAAAGAACAGATCTGGGGTAAAAGACACGTCAAAGAAAGACCTGTAAATGCGCGGTCTTCAGCAGCTTCTCTTGTTTTATAGCCTGTATCGGGTTAGATCCCAACACTACGTATTTGAGTATATATATATTTTTTTTCAATTATTAATCTTGTTTCTGTGGCAAATGCAGCACAAGTACAACAATAATCTGGCTAGATGAGGAAGTCCTGGACCCAGGTCTCTCAAGAACGCTAGGGCTCAAACTGTGCAATGTAAATAGAATCAATACATTTCTACTTTGGACGAACACACAAATTAAACAAATTCAAAAGTAGAAATATTTGGTTCGTTTCATTCCAGTAGATCTACAAATACTGACGAGTTCATACAAAAGTACAAAATGGTAAAATCATTTAAATGACAACAAAACAAAGTTTGCTAACTACAAACAGTCTACAAACAATTCAGATATTAGTGGGAAAATGGGAAACATAATATAATTCTGTCAACTGGGAATCAATTTTATCTTTAGATTTCCTTTGTATCAAACAGTAAAATAGAGGGGACATAATTTCACAGACACTTTTTGAAGTTTTGTTCCTTTTGCAAATGGTTATATAAGAGGTTATCTCCCTTTGAGCTTGCAACTGACAATTCAATACTAGATCTATATAAACACGCCAGGACTAATGATAACAGTGTACAATGCACATAGAAAAGAAATCTAAATCTATATTTGATCATTACAAAATAAAAATTAAAAAAAAAAAAAAAAAAAAACAATTCCAAAATCAAATGGAATGTACACAGTGATGTAGACAGTGATGTAGACAGTGATGTAGACAGTGATGTGTTTTGTTCTTAGCAATCAAAAATTGCTTTTTTTTTTCTTTTACATCTTAAAAATCAAGTAACAAAAATTTTTTTTGTATCAGGAATGTAGGAAGTTTGCACGGCAAATGTTAATCTTTATAAATTAATATAAAGAGATAATTCAGTATAAGAAGATATTTTAGTATAAGTAGATAAATTCATATAAGTAGACAATTTAATATGAAGAGAATTTAGGTAAAGAGATAATTAAGTGTAAATTGATAATTTCGTATAAACAAGAAACTGGAAGCAGAGAGACAACAAAGACTAGCTGAAAATTTTTGATGGAATATCCTAGACAGACTATAAGATTAGTCAATGGTGAAGTGTTAGACTTCAGTCCATCAGTAGGGTATAGACAAACTCTTGGCAAAATTGTAAAGGTAGATATACATAGCAGTTCAAAAGCAGAACGTCTACTTTATCAGATTGTTTGTAACTCATCAATGACATGCTCTTAATTAATAGAACGTTACCCCCCCCCCCCCCCCCAGTAGTCCAGCAGTTAAAAATTTAATCATAAAATGTACAAAGTCAGCAGTCAATGTTATAAACTGTGTAAATAAAAAATTGCTTGGATCAAGATGTAGAGCTGAAGCAGCAGTTGTATCACTGACATATAAAACTAGTGGAGGGAAGTGAGGGAAAGATGACCTTGACACGTGTACATTATGAATGCTATAAAGTTGAAGAACTCCATGTTCAAACAGTATTGAGACTGATCGAAGAATTATCAGACATCCCTTTCAGAACTGAACGATAGGGGAAGGAAAAGGGGGGGGGGGGGGGGGAGAGAAAGAGAAAAAGGGGACATTTACACAGGTACTGTGGAATGATACAAGATGTACAAATATTAATAGAATCAGACATAAGAAAAAAGACACAACGTTTGGTGATCTAGGAACAAACTAAAGTCAACAAATTTTGTAGAACTTGTTCTACTTTTAGCAATAGGATTGTAAATACTAAATGATATATATATAGAGAGAACTTTGATGAATTTGCCAGTATAAGATATATACAATAATAAAATTACATTATATTTGTGTACTAGGAATGAAAGTAATTTACAAAGAAGATTTTCTAAAAAAAAATATTTTTTTTGTGGTATTTTGTTTTTCATAAAACTTTTTATAAATTTTGCCAAAAAAAAAAAAGCATGCAATAATCAAGAATATTAAAATGCAATTTTGTACAATCACAACGTTTTGAGATAAAAGTTTCTACATGAATAAAGAATTATAGCTTTGAATGAGTCCGTCACTTCATTGTCATCTTATTTACAGCAATTTCATCTCTGGTCATTTAATCCCCAATTAAATAAATCTTTTTATGTCATTGTGTAATGGTGCCTGTAAAGACTTTGACTTAAAGCCCCCATTAACCTAAAATATGCAAATAAACTGTTTGTTGATACTTTAACCACTGTCCTTACTCGAATTTAGAGATCTACAACAAATAAAGAGAACTATCAAACATTATGCAGAAAAATTATAAAATAGGTAGGTTTAGAGTTTGAAAGTATCTAACATGGTGAGGGCAGACATAGCAATGCAGAGAAATCTAACAATGTAATTGTAAATAAAATGTAACAATTCAGATATATTGAGAGGCTTGGTGTGTTTTTAGTTAATTTGGTTCACTCTGAGCTAGGGGATGTCAATAGTATCCTGTGCATATAGCATCAAAGCTTTATTCATCATTTCTCCAAGGTGCCATGAAATAGGAGAGGCCGGGGGGTTAGGAGATATTCTTTGGAGTGTGTTATTATCATACTAAAGGGCCAAGGTGAGGGGGAAATAGTGGAAATCTTACGAGACATAAGAAAACAACAAAGGAATCATGTGACCATGCTGCTGATGACATCTTGCTACAGTGTTCTTACACTTTATCATCATTTGCCAATCATTCTTTCCTTCACTAGTCTTGATTTTGTCCCCATGACTATGGGTGCATCAATTTTAACTTTGAGATAACTTTCCAATTATTCCAATAAAGGCTTTCAATAATAGGAGGGTGAATTGTTATCTCTTAATTTACTTTTGTTTAAATCCTGTTGAAACATTAAAGTGGTATTGGACCATCATTTGTATCCATGTATATAATTCTATGTATATATTTCTATCCATATTTCTACATTTGTTTATTGCTAGTTTAGTTATCAACAAGAGTATAATTCCACTACAGACATGGACACAAATACTTGTTCATACATTTTCTAATTTAAATTTCTTGGATAAAAGGATCTGAGGAGGGGGATTGAGTGATCAGTGGAATTAAATGACCAGGATTAAAATGACTGGACATCCTTTGAATACAAAAACTGTGAATTTTTATTGAATCTGACGATTGGTACTTAGCAAACCATATTATCAGATTGATTTGTTTACTCTTGATATTAATCGAAATGTTTACTGCATTTAGCTTAAAAGTACAAAGTACATCTTCATGGCCCGAAACGATACTGTAAGCCTAACACCCAATCAGATCGTTAGCATCTAAGAATTTGCTATAGATGTATTATATATGATTAGATTGTTAACCAGTAGTCTGAGACTAAAATACAGGAAGAATAACTCATCTACTGGGGAAAAAAAAGTATGTTACTAAGTTTAAAAAAATATATATTTTTTAAAGCTGTGCTGTCAGTAATTATTTTCACAAAGTGAGATAGGTCTATGTAGAGAGAGCACTGGAAGACTATATAAATTAGGGTTACTTTTCTTTTGAAATGACTGACCAAAATTAATTCAGAGATGTAACTGAGCAACATTATTTGAATAAATAACAAACTGAGAAAAATTCAGATAAACAAGAAAGCAAATAAAATAAACTTACCTAAAAAAAAAAACAGCCTAAAATTGGTCAAACCTTAGCTTACTGCTTCATTAACTAGACTAAACCTAGCAGCATCTCTGATATTACCATCTTCTGAAGTCAAAACTTACAAGAAAATAATACAATTAAGTCAATGCACTACAACATTGATTCTGTCTATCATCAGATGCATTTTAGCAGTTGGAATGAGGACTTGAGAAAAGTTTGATCAACAGAATGGAATCATTGCTTTTGGCATTAACCCTTTAAATACATAATTGCATAATGGAAAGGTCAACACTTTGTCTCTATTAAGTAGCTTGCTGTGGTTGACAAAGAGTTAAAATGGTTAACTTTTGACACATAACAAGAAAACAATTGTAGACAACATAGCCCTGATCTGACAAGTAAGCAAACACTCAAAGACTTAAGACTACTTGTCAGCTACAGTAAGCAGCACATCATACAGCTTCATTACTAACTCTTGGGTAGCAATACAATAGTTGAAGTAAACCCTACATTGTTTGCATTCAAAAATAACTCAAGAGCTCTCCAACCACAACATACTACAAGGCCAGACTATTTAAATTTCTTTTTAAAAAAATGTGCATTGAGAGACGCACATTATTTCAATGATACAGATGTTTTGTGAAATAAATATTCAAACAGTGTGGAGTTTCTACATCACTAAAAATTCATTGATATTACCATAACATATAACACACCTTGCTAATGGTTAACATGCATAGCTAACAAAACAAAAGCTTTAGTTTCATATCATCTAGTTACCTTAAAATTTACACAGCGCAGGCAATATCCTTTGTCCTTAAAAGCATCATGCAGCATTAGAGCAGCACAAAGTTTTAAAGCTGCTCATTAGAACAATTTTGCTCACTAAATAGAAATATTTGAGAAAAATTCTGTTCCTGCAGTGTGTAAACAAAAACAAAAATAGTAAAAGTAAAAATGTAAAAGACAAATGGAATTACATAAAAACCTTTCTATCAATGTAACAGAAAATCAGAAAACCAATTTATGTTACAATATACACTTCAAAAAAAAATTTATAAAATTAAAACTAATAACAAAAGAACATGATTGTACTATTAATTTTGTCAAGATGTGGCATATTTGGACAAAAGTTTTACATTGAATGTAATAAAAAGAAATTCAAGGCACTTAAGAAGCAAGGAATGATAATCATCAGTATAAAAAATGATCAGAAAAGAATTGGTTTCTGGACTGGCAGCTTGTTCTGGTTTGGTGGAATGAAAAGTTAATACAATACATTCAGATAAAATATCTCAATTAGAATACAAATTATTTTAAACATTCTTTTTGCCAGTGGATTATAACATATTAAAATTCTATATCTGGTTATGGGTTAGGGCTGATCTTTGACAGCCTTGAGGTTGCAGACATAAATGTAGACAACTATGTACATTTAACTCAGTAAAGATAAATACTTCAAGTAGAAAAAAAAATGTTGAGTGGCAAAATATTCAAATAGTTACAGAAATATCTGTAAAGTTTGCATCTGGAAGTAAACTTATGGTAGTGCTACTGACACCATTTGTTCTTGCAATGTCGGTCTTAAAATTAAATTTTTTTTTATTTTTAAAAGTGGTGAAAGAGAAATTATGTGGTGTGGTGGAAAAGTGATTGACTGCTAGACAGAAGGTTCTGAGTTCAGATTATGCTGAAGGGTTTCCTACTTATGGATTTTAAGGTGTCCCAATATCTTGCTAAAAAAAATCATTCATTTAGGTCAGTGTTCCCAAACTTTTTCCTTAACGGAACAATTCACATTTTATGAGTATTTAGCAGAACACTTTGCTTATTTTTAGAATGATTAATTCTGGTGGTGACCTACTTGCTAATTATTCCAATAGTTGTGGAACACCTATTCAGGCGTTACGGAACACAAGAGTAGTGTTCGGCTAAACACAGTTTGGGAAACAGTGATTTAGGTAAAAAGTTACAGTTCAGGAGCATGAGTCAAATGAAAAATAACTCTACACAATTTTACAACCAGTAGAGTTGTCTTCAGTTCTTGTGGAGTGTTTGGCCAGGATGGGAACACAATTTAGGTGAGAGAAACAAGATGCTCCCCTACTCTCAACATGGAAACTGGGGGCAATGTGAAACCCTGTGGTTATCATAAAGGTAATAAAACAAACTATCAGCCATCACAACTCAGTGACCACACAACCTTTGTGAAGTAACAATGAGGTGACCACAACAACAAAACAGGTCATCACAACCGAATGGCAAGGAAAAAAAAAGTGGATATCACAACCTAATGGCAAGGGATAAGATAGCAGATCACTGGAAATTATGATAGGTTGTTATGACCTGATATTGCTATTCGTAATTCTGGCATCATTGTTATCAGGTACAGGTGTTGTAGGTGATACGGAATGCTACCTAGAAAGGCGAGGTGATAACAAATTTGTGGCAAGGACAATCTGTGTTGTTGATTGTGCATAAATAATATCACATGAGATAAGACATAAAATATTTAGAAAAAAGATTTCAAAATGATACAAACATTAATACATGATATTTTTAAGCATTATGACCTTCAATTACTGACCAAAGTCTAAGGGCATTAGTAAAAAAATAAAGATATTAAAAAAAGAAAAAGCAGAAATAAGAAAACAAGAAATAATA